CACACTGTGTCATCAATAGGGATGATCTGTAACCCTTTAGACTCTCAATCTGTCCCTTCTACTCCTTGTGTGACATATGGTGCTATGTGGCCTCCCCACTCAAGGCCCGAGAGTACCTCAGCCACATGTCCAACAGTGGTGTCCATATTCAACCCGCCGACTTGCCTGTCTCTTTGCAATCCCCTGGACAAAGCGGATCAGACTGAGCGTCATTGAAAATAGCATTTCCGACAGGAATGGCTGGGGAAGTGTTCAACCATAATCTGGCGTGGTCATTATTGGAATTCGGTATCGCAATGCTGTGATTACAAAAGATGCCTAAGGCTAATGTTGGGTATTTCACGCGTTGCAATTTGGTATAACTTGCCAACACAACTTTGTCGTTTATGAATTCACCGTAATTTTAATAGTTAAATTAATTTGTTTTTACCATTTCTTAAACTGCAGTGCAGGTGTGCTTTAATCCGAATGAAATGAACGTCGCAAAATTTGTTCAAATGATCTCAAAGTTACGAGATATTTGTGACATTCCACAACTATAGCGTGATTTGTGCAACGCTCACTGAAAGCACAAGCAGTAGTGCGACTTGTCCGCATGCTAGTGATGTATCGCAAATGATTCATGTTAAGGCCACCATGTCTTCTAAACATTCAGGATGCACTGCCTCTGAGCCTAGCTTCAGTAGCTGCACTGTGCAAGTACTCATTTGTGACAGGTGAGTCAAGTCATAGTTTCAGATTGTCCTTAGTAGGTTCCTTTTACTTCTAAGAAATATGCTTGTCTCTCAGCATCTTCAGTCGACATTTCACGTATGTTCAATGAACAATTTATTTTGTGAAAGCCGAGGACTAATAATCTTTTCCCAGCACTTTTACGGTGTTTCAGAAAGATTCCGACCTCGTCGGAATTAAAAAAAATGTCCCTTCTGGAAGTGTGCTTAAACGAATGAAACCAATGAAATATGTTTAAAAGTTTTATTTGTTCATAACACAACTGTATAGTCAGTTGATACGTACAATGGATCAACATCGCCACCACGAACAGGAGTGTCCCCCGTACGTTTTGCATTCTTCAAGTGTCACATCATATTCACAACCCTTTCATTTGACTTCCTCTAAGCCATTCTTAAGTTAAAAGCTGATAGCAAGTCAATGCAATGCATCGATAAAGTCAGAGTTTAGAGGTACGCTGTGTACTCTAAACTTGAATGGTGTGTTGTGATGGTCCTCGCCATATGTTTCTAATTACTGACGTGGCCCCTTCAAACAAAACACCCCTAGCTGGGAATATAATCTAGTTATACTATCGAACCATTGTAATAAATGGTAGGTAAATGTGACAATCCTCCATTTACCTATGAACGAACATTTAGACAATCCAATGATTGAAATCATGAGCGTCGATCAACGCTGTTGCCATACGATGACATGCATCAAGCAAGTTACCGAGCCTGACCACTCGATGTCATAAGTCGTCTCTTACGACAAGTATGGGTTGCTGAAGATAAAAACAATGATCATAGTGGCATAGTCGTAGTGACTTTAACATTATTAAATTTCAAGACCCGCGTTAGCATGTGCAAATTTGGCGGTCAAATAATACTGATGTTTCAAACGTTTGTCATACCGCCCTCGGATTTCACTTCCCTTTCCTAGCTTGACTATATCAGAGAAATATTGTTCCCCTTCAGTTGTATATGGAGGACAATAAGGCGGGGGAGAGGGAAGCGGAGATAGAGAAACAGGAAGAGATTGCACTTTGCACTCGCCTGTGTTGGACAAAACAACCAGAATGATGGTGATTGTGACGGTTATTTTCATAGTCAGCTCACTATCGGTGGTAGTAATCGGCTATGTACACGAAGGTAACCCTGCATCACATTTTGACGCTGTCATACAGGTTTTGTACTTGTCATGTTTTTTCTTACTTTCTACACAGTGCTTTGAACCCCATACTCTATAGCGTCTGTAGCCACTCTTTCCAAGAAGTCATGAAGAACCGGATACAGACACTTCTTTGCCGAAAAACGACTCGAGTAACACCTCGCACCGTTTGAAGCTCTATTCAGAGTGTGTTCATGGAACACTCTGACACAAGTGTAGAGATAGCGTTGTCGCTGAAATGCACAATTGATACTTCGCCTCTTCTTTGAACCGCTCTATCACCTTTTCCATCAGGAAGGGGGACTACCACGATGGTTAATCCCACGGACAAGGGTATATATATCTGGAATACCAAGGCCATCCTGGGATCTGGAAATCCACGACTGTCGATGAATACATAAGTATATTTGTCAGGTATACAGGTACGTCTCCTACCAAAGATCAAGAAGTATATTCCCCACTTCTCGTATGTTTCATGCACGTGTTGAACATACGGTTATTTCATTTTCAAAGACTCCGCGGTTTGTAATCTTTAGAATAAAGTACTTTACATTATTTGACATTTACACAAATTTCGACATATTAGAAAAAAAACCAAACCTTTGATTAGTTTTCATTTCATTGCACAGAAACAACTTTAGAAACAAAAAATAGTTGAATTTAAATTTGAATTTAAGCAAACATGACCATATCAAAGAATGTCAGCGACATGTATGGTGGTGGTGACATAATGTTCATGATATATGAAAGCGGCGCAAAGATCCAAACTCGAGGAGTCTAGTGATGTATATCACTGTCTTGTGGGATTGTTGCATGCCCTGAAATTCCAATGCTATGTTGTGTAAGCTAAGTCAGTGTCATAATTTGTCGAAACTTGGTCTAGCCAATGTTCATGACTGGCGTCTGAAACATTTAAAAAATGCTCAAAATTGGTGATACCTTCCATGGTATAATAAAACTTTACATTTTATGACCGCTTCCTTTCTTTTGTGAATATTGATATTGTTGCAGATGTGCAAATATAGTCAGTATTACTCTGTTTGTGTTGAAGTGATAAAGCTGTTGCATCGCATCTCCAATGTGTATGGTGACCAGTCCATAGCATAAACTCGACACAGCCATGAGAGTTTGATTATTTCCAGTAAAGGGGCCACTGGTCCGTATGCAATGGTCATACATTAATACAATATACTGAGTGCAATGCAATAATCTTACAAGCGGAAGTACTTGGTGCGTTTTTTCACCCCAAGGAAAACATTTTGCTGATCTATTTACTGTAAATGAATCCATGAAGCAAGGAGTTGTTTAAGTGTATTGAACGTAGGATGAACTATTCTGGGAGTCAACAAAATGGACATATTAGGCAAAAATGAAATAATGATTCTACATTGGGAATTATACTGGACATAATCTTTGATTTCCAGCAATGTTTGATTTTCTTCGTTCTTCCATCATGAGATTGTCATTCGAGCAGCGAAATGTACACAGTGCCAATCTATATACTGATCTATTAATACTTTTCAAATATTCTTCTAAATTGTTTCTTACTTTGATATTTCTGTACAAATCCAATTTTGAAAACAGGGCAAGAATTTCAATGCACGTTTGGTTGCCATTGGCAATACATATTTACCTGAACAGAAGTAGAAACGATTTTACTACCTCCAATATCTTGATTTGCTCACAGATATCAAAATCCATACCTAAATAATGTAGATTCAACTTTGTATGCTCAACAGTTACGGACAATCAGCATATATATATACATTGATATTTTACACCTTTGTCAGAACATTATCTTCCTGATTTAATAACCTCAACCAATAACTTATTGGTTGAACTGGTTTATTCTGAGTGTATAACGGCGCAACTCACCACGAGCCACAAACCACAATACTTGGTGCACTCCTACCAAGATGAAGGAGTACTTTACAAGAATTGTCATGGACACGGCCATGTCGGTGAAGGATGAAAGCCCCAAATTTCTGTTCCATGCATAAAATCCGGTAATATTTTGACGAAAGAAATGTGTATATAGATTAGATTTCACAACATAAGTAACCTTTAGTGCTAGTTCAGCTATTATTTACTGAGTTGCTGAGATATTTAGTGTGAGAGAGTGAGTTGGAACGCCGATTTGAACAGTATTCCAATTATATCACGGCGTGTCAGCTTAATGTGGGAGGAAAGCCCGAAGTGATGCAGGCCTCAGACGTTTACCACTTCGGTTAAACCCAAGAGAACGGGTATGGTGTTGACAAACCTAGAAACATAATTGGGGTGAACCGGGATTCGAACCCACAATCATAGGTTTCTGGCGTGTTCAAGGGACGCAACTTTGCACAGCGAATCACGGCGCCTTAGACGACTGCCCCCTGAGATATTTAGATATATTTAGTAATAACTGTATCTGTTGTACCCCCATGAAACCCAGCCTGCTCGGAGACTAAAAGCTATCATGTTCTACCCATGAGTTCAACCTGTTTTATATAACGTTTGAAAATATTTTACTTGAAACTTATAGAAGCGTAATAACTCGATTGGGACACCGCTTAATTAATCCAGGCGCCTTACCATTATGCATGTGGGAGATAGCAGCACCAACACCCTCACATGAAACATCTCTACCAAATAATAAAATGTGATTTCCTCAGGAAATGTGTGCATGGCCTTGAAAAGTTGTTCAAAGTGAACATTCCAGTCACAAGCAGCACTGCGGTTTGTCACAATTGCTGATGTGCGTTTTATCATTACCCAGATTTTCTTTGGGAACAACGTTTCATTAAACTTGTCAGACACGGGCCTAAATGATAAAGAACGTTTTATTTTACAGAAGTTTTTGAAGTAAGATCACGCCTCAAAATAATATTACCGATCTCCTGTTCCGTTTGATGCATGGAAATAAAAGCGACAAACCCTCTACAGTTTCATAAGAAATCTCGATTGTACGGTTCCGACTATATCATGATCATCTATCAAATAGTGATGATACCAGGTGTTCGCGAAAAGATGGGCCATGGCTGAGCTCTGTGCATCTCAACATTCTTGATCAAAGCAATGGCTACCATTACGCAATGTTAGAGTATCTTCATTGGACGCATTTTTAGTCTTGTATTTCAAGTAGTGTCACGTGCTGGGGTGCCAATAATAATAAAAAAGGCTGAAGCTGGTGCTTGGGCTGGAGCTGGAGCTGGGGCGGTTGCTGGACCTGGTGCTGGCGCTGGTGCTTGGGCTGGAGCAGGAGCTGATGCTGGGGCTTGGGCTGGACCTGGGGCTGGAGCTGGGGCCTTTGGCGGGAGCAGGAGCTGGTGCTTGGGCTGGAGCTGGGGCTTGGGCTGGGGCGGTGGCTGGACCTGGGGTTGGAGCTGGGGCTTGGGCTTGGACTGGAGCTGGGGATTGGGCTGGAGCTGGGCGGTGGCTTGAGCTGGGGCTGGGACTGAGGCTGGGACTGGAACTTGGACTGGGACTGGGACTGAGGCTGGGCTGTGACTAATCCTTGGAGTGGAGCTGGGACTGGGGCTTGGGGACTGGGACTGAGTCTGGGGCCTGAGCTGGAACTGGGACTGGGACTGAGGCTGAGGCTGGGGCTGGAAGTGAGGCTGGGACTGAGGCTGGGACTGGAGCTGGGACAGGGGCTTCGAGAGTGGATGGGAGTGGGACTGGGACTCGGGCTGGGACTGGAGCTGGAACTGAGGCGGCGACTGAGGCTGGGACTGGAGATGGGACTGGGGCTTGGAGAGGGGATGGAGTGGGACTAGGACTGGGACTGAGGCTAGGACTGGAACTGGGACTGGAGCTTGGATTGGGGCTGGGAATTGGACTGAGGCCAGGACTGGAGCTGGGACTGGGGCTTGGGGACTGGGGCTGAGTCTGGGACTGGAGCTGGAACTGGGGCTGGGACAGGGACTGGGACTGAGGCTGGGACTGGAGCAGGGACTGGGACTGAGGCTGGGCTTGGACCCGAGCTGGGGCTGGGGCTGGGGCTGGGGCTGGGGCTGGGGCTGGGGCTGGAGCTGGAGCTGGAGCTGGAGCTGGAGCTGGAGCTAGGGCTGGGGCTGCGACTTGGGCTGCGGTTGTGACCCGAGCTGGAGATGAGGCTGGTGCTGGGAATGGAGCTTGGATTTGGGGTACAACGGGGACTGGGGCTGAGGCTGGAGCTGAAGCTGGGGTTGGGGCTGGGGCTGTCGCTGACGCTGACGCTGGGGCTGAAGCTAGGGCTGGGACTGGAGGTGAAGCTGGAGATTGGGCTTTGGTTTTGGCTGGGGCTAGGGCTGAACTGGAGCTAGGGCTTGGGCTAGGGCGTGGGCTGGGGCCGGGGCTTGAGCTGGGACTAGATGTGAGGCTGGGACTAGATCTGGGGCTGGGGCAGGGGCAGGGGCTGGAGCTGGGACGGGAGCTGGGGCTGGATCATGGGCTGGGGCTGGAGATGGGAGTGGTAATGGACGTGGGACTGAAAGTGGGACTTGAACTCTGGCTGGTGAATGAGCTGGAGCTGGGGCGTGGGCTGGAACTGTGGCATGGGCATGGGCATTGGCATGGGCATGGGCTGGGACATGGGCTAGGTTTGGGGCTGGGACTAGGACTGGAGCATGGCCGGGAGATGGGCTGGGTTTGCACCGGGGGCTGGGGTGGGGATTAAACCTGGGGCATGGGCTGGGTCTGGGGCTGAGACAGGGGCTGGAACAGGAAGCTTGGACTTGAGCTTGGACTGGGCATGAACCTGGGGCTGGGGCTGGGGCTTGGGCTGGGGCTGGGGCTGGGGCTGGGGCTGGGGATTCCGACTTTGTCACAGGCATGTGTTTCTGCGTCACTTGTGATGACATCAGTTATTTGCGAAATGGTGAGTGTACCCTGCCTCACCGTTGGCACCCGTCACAAACACGTTCACCTGGAAGACACTGGAGCATATTCCACAGGTCAAAATCGGGAATTGCACTGGACATCATGCGGAAATGTCCTCCATATGACGACCGTAAACGTTTTGAAAGCTTCACTGAGACCTTGAATGTTAAAACATTCTACTCCCCAGCGTATCATATAATCAATATGTGTTGCACTCCAATGTCCCGCATGCAAACGTGTGGTATTATTGTAATACCCCCTCGATACCGAAAACTCCGAAATGAAATGTCTTGAAGCAGTAACTATTCTTTCTCCGATGCAAAAAAGTGAAATGTCTTGAAGCAGTGACTATTCTGTCTCCGACGCTAAAAAAGTGAAATGTATTGAAGCACTGACTATTCTGTCTCCGACGCTAAAAAAGTGAATTGTCTTGAAGCAGTGGCTATTCTGTCTCCGACGCTCAAAAAGTGAAATGTCTTGAAGCAGTGACTATTCTGTCTCCGACGCTCAAAACGTGAAATGTCTTGAAGCAGTGACTATTCTATCTCCGATGCAAAAAAGTGAAATGTCTTGAAGCACTGACTATTCTGTCTCCGACGCTAAAAAGTGAAATGTCTTGAAGCACTGACTATTCAGTCTCCGACGCTAAAAAAGCGAAACGTCTTGAAGTAGTGACTATTCTGTCTCCGACGCTAAAAAAGTGAAATGTCTTGAAGCACTGACTATTCTGTCTTCGATGCAAAAACAGAACGTGTCCAAAGTAGTTTTTAGTTTCTCCCTTCAGAGAAGAACATTTTGTATGATAAAAATATTCAGTCTCTGAGAAAACTCAGTACTGATCACACGCAGCGGCCCGAGACATGAAATTCCAAGGCTTTCTTTCTCCGATTCCGAAAGTTTACTCTCTTACATGTGTATGATATGACAATAGCATTTGCAAGATGTTTATTTTATAAGTAAAAATTTTTTTTTAAAGGTATTTTTTTAATTCCTTAAAATATCAACAAGCTATCAAGCTATATTTTAGAAGACCAAAACACTATTATAAATGTACAACAATATATTGCGCAAAGCTTCATTTATCTTCCTCAACACATCACATTCTTTATCTAGATTTAAAAGGTAAGTTGTAATGGCAATTGTTTACGTATAAATGTTTCGTCTTTTTCATTCCTGCAGTAATAATCTTGATTAAAATGGAATTGCTTCTGGCCGACATTGAATTGGAGCAGTCTGCAAAGCATCTGAGATTTAATCGAATTGTAACTTCCTTTTCAACGTTATTCCTGGTTTCAAATATCACATCAATCAGGGAGCGAGGCAGCCTTATTGAAACAATGGCCGTGTGACAAATACAAACCGACTCTCCAGAGAATAGCGATTGCATTGAGGATAAAAAACACTGAATATTTTCAACAAATCTGATTTTGTTCAAATTGGAAGCGCAATTCGTGCCTTGCCTGTGTGTCGAGTGTTGCCTGATTTCCACAGCGCCATGTTTGTATCAGAATAACAAAAGTTGCTTTAATTGTTCAGACCTTACGTTTCCTTGAAATCAGGGTTACTGCCTATTATTTAAGCTAAAAGTAGTGAGTGAGTGAGTGAGTGAGTGAGTCAGACAGACAGACAGACAGACAGACAGACAGACAGACAGACAGACAGACAGTCAGTCAGTCAGTCAGTCAGTAAATAACCTGAGTACAATCCTTCACCTGTCGACTCCATACTCAACAATGATGTGCAGAGTTGCGACCCTGAAGCACCATATGTCTGCTCGTTATTTTCGCCTGGACTGTGACCTGCGTCATTTAGGGTATTCACCATCGTAGCATAACTGAACTACGTAGTCCAACACCTAGTACTCAATTTTCACTTGTCATATAACCCAATTTCCCATTCATCATCATCATCATCATCACTAGTAGTATTATCATCATCATCATTAGTTTATTCTCACAGCTTACATAAAAAGTGCGGTTCGGTGAAATGGGGTTCAGCGTCACATTTACGATAATTGCACTCAAACTGCTGCTTTTACTGTCACGACTTATGTTGGTTTCATAATGCTAGTCGATTGAGATACCATACCTTAGTTAAACATGAATACCCCAAGCAGTCACATTATACTGCCGTCCTTGTTTAATCCCAAAATGCCGCGCGCCAGGATGGGTAATTTTTAAACTGGCCTGACAAGACCAGGAGATCGCACCACCGACCTTTCTTCTGCTCTCCAGGCAAACTATGTCTACTAGACCACAGAGGCGGTCTAATGTGGAGATATTATGTTGTACAGATATCTCTTCTATTCCCCTTAATGCATCCATCATGGAATTCTTTTCCTCCCTCCATCCATCTGTCCATTCACCCTTGATCCATTTGCCACCCATTTGTCGAGCACAAGAACGTCTATGAAGCTATTCCTGGTTTACGAAAAGGCAAATTACTGTTGTGAAGTGCACTTGCTTCACTCACAAAGGCAGTCCAGTTTAGCTCTGTGTTGAAGATTTACGTTCTTCTGCTATACTCGATCATTCCAGAAGGTTATGTCGAGTGTCGGATTTATCACTGTCAACAAGGTCAAGTCGGTATCTGCTGTGAATAGATCTGATTCTTTATTTCTAGTCAGTTACAATGTCCGTGACAGAAAAAAACCAGAGAAAGAGATGAACTTACTTTAAGGAGAACAAACGTGTACCTTTTATCATAACTTCCATTCCCAAAACGTCACATACGCAAGGTTTGTTACTGAAACCATCCAGACCTCAGTTTGATATATTGTAGTCAATGTCTCATATTGCAACCGCCCAGTCCTCAGTTTGATATCTTGTAGTCAGTGTCTCATATTGCAACCACCCAGTCCTCAGTTTGATATATTGTAGTCAATGTCTCATATTGCAACCACCCAGTCCTCATTTTGATATATTGTACCCAAGTCCTCATACTGTAACCATCCAATTCCCAATTTGATATATCATAGTCAAGGTCTGATATTGTAACCATCCAATCCTCAATATTATAGTCAAGGTCTCATATTGTAACCATCTGGACGTATTCTCAGCAGGGTTTCTTACTGTGACCGTCCACTCCTGGGTATGGAAACGAGATGGAATGTCAGTAGCTGGATGTGCGAGCTATTATCACCTGAATGGATTTGCACACCACGAGACCAAATGAAATGAAACACAACACGACGATGGAGTGTGACAGCATATTAGTCAAACTCAATGATAAAGTTTTAAGTCAAGACAAGCATGACATACTTGGGATTACTTATATTGCACTGTCAATGAAGCAATCTCTATCTGTTACATTTCAGACTGACTAATAGCACTTAGTAGCGACACAAAAAAGAAAATCACAGGTCGCAATGGCAAAAAAGCATACAAACAAAATAAATCAATTTTAGTTGAATATGGTCTTTTAAGTTCATTGAGTAACAAGGGATTTTCTATCAATTTATGAAAGAAGCAACACCTATTTTACGCCAGTGGAAATCCTTCGAACGATAAAAGCTTTTTCTCAATTTGATGTCTCTAACACCCTGCATCAGGGTTGACATTTGGCCTAAATGTGGACAATGGAAAGTCACAGTTTAGAAGTGTGTGATTAGGTACTTGTTTGCTTTGGTGACATAAAGCCTTGCGTTTATACGATCAAAACTGAAATAACAGATTGGCCAGATGGATCCTTGTTTTGTAAGAGTTTAATCCCCAGGACTGTCTTTGCAAGTGATAATGGCATCCTTAACATGGAATTACTGCTATTTCATTGGTGGAACGAGAGCTTGGAGGGCAATGAAGTGATGAAAGAAGACACAAAAGAAGATTATTCACGACAAACAACTGCACTGTTTCATGCACACATTATTCCCCAAAGTCTCGTACTGGGTCAACTTTCATAACTGGCGGTTATAATGTACACTGACGCCGTAAAGCTGAGAAAATAGGTTGCTTATTGTATCTGTGTGGCATCATCGAGGGACACTAAATCTCTGTCGCAAAGACCTCTTGACAATCTTCAAAAAATAATCACGTATTCTGCCAAAGATAAATCCTACCTGCTAAATAATTGAGTTAATATTTACTTATCGGTTTTCTACTACACGGAGTTTATTTCCCATAGCGTGAGATGGCGAAATCTGAGGTCGAACAGAGGCTAAAGTCGTCTTACTTTTGACAGTCCACTGTCAGTACGTCAAAGGCTCGACATTATCGGCACTTGGGCAAGGCGCTATGGGTCCAGGAGAACATTAAGTTATCGTAGGCTGCGTCTGTATACATAAGAACCTCTTGGTCCTTTGACGTCGAGAAATGAATTTGCAAGATATATAACTCTATAAACGCAAGGAATTGATTATCCGGTTCAAATTTATGTGTGGCAAGCCAGACATCGCCGAAGGTTGTGTTACAATCAAGAGATGGCTGGTTCCAATGTCTAGGCAGATGTTTTTTTTTCTCACATTTTCAGAAATAGGCAAATCACTTTGTCAGATCTTTGAAATTTGGCTGTAGATATATTGGTCCAAAAGGCAGGGAACATATTATATAGTTGCGATGTATTCATTGCAGTTGAGACAGTTCAAAAGTGGAAAATACTAATTCTGTGGCGCCGGTGTCTCCGATATTCTGCTTTTTGTCAGCGTAGAATTACTGCAGATCAATATTCCTGTCTTTTTTTTAATATACGTTTGTTGTTTGTGGCTTAACGTCGCTA